CTTTGACTTTTTATTTTCAAGTTGGCGATTTTGAGAAAGCGCGAAGCAGTGGGTGATTCTGCACTTTCCCAGTTTGCCGCCAAGGCTGTGGGCTCTCCTACGATTTTACCTAATATTCAAGTAGCTGCTGGTCATTCCGATTAAGTTAACAACTTAATCATCTGTTAACCTCATTTTAATTTTAACATCTGTTGTGTAATGTTGAAATTAAAACGAGGTTTCTTTGGGTGGTGTAATATTTTTTATTTTCCAAGTCGTGTTAATTTTTGTGATTTCTTAATTTTTTGCTCCTACTAAGGCAAGGACTTCATTCTTGTTCAAATTAAACTTTTGAGGATTTCATTTTTGGTTTGTTCTCGGTTACTGTTCTTTATGAAAATTTTCAGGTACTTTACGCACCCCCTTTTATGCCGATACATGGTTCCCACCACACAGGGCACTTTCTTCTTTTTTTGCACTTACGATTAAATGATTCATGTGAACCTGCACATTTTAAACATCTCTCCTTTATACTGACCTTTATGCTCGTCGGGACTTCGACAGGACAGATCATCGGGATAGATGTGGAGCACACATTGTGTGCTAACTGCAGTAGATAGTCTCCCAAACAATATTGAGGTTCGGCAATTCCGGATTATCAGTTTTTCCAGATTATAGATCATCAGTATAAATCTGGTAAGATGGCATGCAGAAATTATAAAATTAAAAATATGAAACTGTAATTTATGAAATAAAGAGCAATTATAATCTAAAGGGTATCAAAATTTCCAAAAAAAAAAAAAAAAAAGCTTAATATTTATTTGTTTACTTTATTAAGCATTTATTTCACATGCATAAAGCATACATTATGCATAGTCGAAATTAGAAAATTGCAACCAGAAAACTATTTGATATGTATTCGTGATATTTATAATGACGAGGAATTTGATTTAAATCATATCAAAGAGGATCAATCAATCATATCATGGAGTACATCGAGATGAAATACTACATTTAGTAAGGAATTACAGTCAAAAGTCGTTAATTTGGACACATGTAATTCGGAGTGATCTATAATCCGGACCTACAAACTTTTTGCGCAGACGCATGCGCATAGACGTTTAGGCATGCGCATAAGACCTTTACGGCTGCGCATATGTGTGTGTGCTTGCGCATAATACGTTTACGCAAGTGCATTTAATGTATAACGGACGGTATAAGCTAAAATTATCTAATTATCTATTTCAGTTAATGTTGCAGATTATGTTGTTCCTTAATCTTCGAATTGGATCCGGCTTATTATTTTTTGCAGACTGTTAGAGCAATTTTATAAAAGTAAGCTTGAACTTTCGATTATGTCAAATAGAATTTCTGATGCTGGAGCTCCCAAAGGATCTACAAAGCGAAAGTATGTTTCGATGTCCATCAAACAAAAAGTGGAATTGCTGCAAAAAATGGATAAAGGCATGAAGAAAGTGACAGAGAGATTAGTGAAAATGAAAAAATTTCGATTAACAAGTTAGTCGGTATTCTCGGCACAGCAATTACAGGACTTGAACAGCGAAACTATGTAACTGAACAAGAAATTATGTCTGTTAATATAGAATTAAAGAGAAAGTATTAGCACATAAAACAAAGCAACTTAAACAACTTACGTTGAAAGAAATGCTTAATAAAGTAAACAAATAAATATTAAGCTTTTTTTTTTTTTTTTTTTTTTTTTTTTTTTTTTTTTTTTTTTTTTTTTTTTTTTTTTGTAAATTTTGATACCCTTTAGATCATAATTGTTCTTTATTTCATAAATTACGGTTTCATATTTTTAATTTTATAATTTCTGCATGCCATCTTGCCAGATTTAAACTGATGATCTATAATCCGGAATCGCCAAAGTCCCAACGAGTCCGGATTAACAACTTTTGACTGTATAAGCCGAATAAAATAAAAACATCTGCCCTGAAGATAAGGATAGTGCTGACAGATCAACTTCCAGTTCATCGCGTGCCACAACGTCCCCCCCTTTGTTTCTGTAACAAGATGATGTATTGTTAGAGAAACAAAGGATATGCCTTTATCCATTTTTTGCAGCAATTCCACTTTTTGTTTGATGGACATCGAAACATGCTTTCGCTTTGTAGATCCTTTGGCAGCTCCAGAATCGGAAATTCTTTTTGACATAATCGAAAGTTCAATCTTACTTAAAATAATATAAAAACAATCTTACTTATAAAATTGCTTTAACAGTCTGCAAAAAATAATAAGCCGGATCCAATTCGAAGATTAAGGATCAACGCAATCTGCAACATTAACTGAAATATATAATTAGATAATTTTAGCTTAGCTTATACCATCCGTTATACATTAAGTGTGCATGCATAAACGTATTATGTGCATACATAAACGCATATGTGCATGCATAAAGGTATTATGCATTTACGCATGCACAGAAAGTTTGTAGCTTTGAGGTCTGGATTATAGATCATTCCGGATTATGGACGTCCGGATTAAAGACTTTTGACTGTATTTGTATTTCTAGATGCTTTTTTTATTACTGCTTTATTGACTTCTCGGAGTTGATGAGATTAGTGTGAAAAAGAACTTCACATTCTTGCAGCATTTTAGTAGCCACATGGTGATCATTTACATTGTATACTCTAGTTATTTAAAGTGTCTCCTTTTAGGTTACCTCTAAGTTTTTTAACTCCACACTTGAGAGTTTTCCCCTTTAATGTTTTCCAGTTACCGTTAAAGTTGGCCAAAATAATAAGTGGTATATGTCCCGCTGTTTTCATTGCCTATGAAAAATCAGATTCGTTATCGCTTGTCTCCTGGTCCATACGATCATCAGGTTTAAGCTCGTGAAATTTAGTTTTTGGGGCAGGGGTCTCATTTTCTCTATTTGATAGTGTCCTGTTAAGTAGGAAGATGTGGTGTTTTGAAACCATGAGCGTCAGTTAATTGTGTTTTGTTTTTGCGTGTTTTGGCACTGAAACTTCTGGTGAGTTGTTTAACTACTGTATTTGCATTCATGTTCAAGTCATTTTTCTTGTTTGCTTGTGCTAGAAACATATCAATAGCAAGTATGTCATTCTCAAGTATTTGAATTCTTTCTATCATACTGTTATTCATAACTGCAATATAGCATAACTCATGGCACTCGTTTTGAAAGCTTAACTTAACATGGAGAGCATCAAGTGAATTTTCCCCATGTGTGCTCTCAAAAACTTTTAGAACAAACCTTGTCACCATTTTCACATCCATCGCACTAAATATGAATCATTGCCATGCATCGCTAGGCAAGTAACTTGGCTGGTGCTGGCATCCTGTGATATCAAAAAATTTCTTAACCCAAAATCAAGAAGTGTCGCTCGTTGTTGCTCTGTTTTCAGGCCCAAGAAATACTTGACACTCTCAATACTCTGAATAACAATAATTGGAAAGCAACGGTCGTATTTAGACCCTACAGCAGTAAACCAAACAAGAAGGTAGTGCCATCTGTCAACAGAAATACTAATGAAAATTGAAAAATTAAGGGAAGTTAAGAAGCATTAAAAAAGACTAGATTGGACTTTTTAGGTCATTAACTAAATAAGATAAATCATTGTGAATGTGGAAAGCTTCAATTAAATCCAATCCACTATTTGAAAAAGCTTTTTAGGTAATTTTTTTCATTACTAAGATTTCTTTTATAATGCAGTTGGGTGATTATCAGATATTAAGGCCATGATGTTTTCATTGAGCATTTGCCTTCAATGTATAATTTTGGATTCATTAGATCTCTATTTTTCCTATCTGTTGAAAAGACATGTACAGTAGTCTTTTCTGCATTGATCTTGAGCTTTAAGTTTCTCATCCACCTTACGATCCCATTTAAGAATTTCTGGATCACTGTTTCAGATTCATGAATATCCAGCACTGCTGGAGTGCCAGATTGTAATGTCATCTGTGTGGCAGGGCACATTCATGCCTTTGTCAACGTTAGAGTGAATGTTTTTCTCATATAACAGGAAGAGAAAGGGTCTCAGAGTGTCAAAATAGAACACGTGCAAGTATTTTCTTGCTTTTGGAGAAACATCCATTATAGCATACTTAAATTTTTCTATCTCTCAAGAAATCATTTATCCAGATCAGGGCATTTCCTCATGTACCATAATGAAGTATATAAGTTTTATGAGTTTCTATCTCTGCAGTTTATCAAATGCAGAAGACAGATCAAGAAAAATAGCAATACTCTTTTTTGGTAGTCATTCTGAATCTAGACTCGTCATAGAAAGGAGCACCATTGTCCAAATGGTTGGAGAATGGAAAGCTTTAACTCATTGTATATAATGATGTAGATAATATACTAGTTTGTAAATGTTTATAATCATTTAAAATATATATATAAACTTTTAAAAGTATGGTATCTTGTCAGCTAAAAATTGGATATTATAATAATTTTAAAAAATGCATATTATGTTATTTGTTTTGTTCCTCTCTAAGTAGTAGTAGATGTTTTTTTGAAAGTTTTAGTGCCAATTATGAGTTGGAAAATTTTTATAAAATTGTTAGTGTAAAATGTATACAATGAAATTTCGCATTTTATCAAGGCACCACTAGTTGAATAAAATCACTAGCGCATCATTGAAACTGCAGCATTGAAAACTGGTGGTTTGAGGCAGCTTCAGATTTATGTGAATAAGCTGAATGTGTGTATTAATATGATTTTGCCTAATGTGAATATGAATCAGTTTGCCTTAGGAAGTTCTTCATAAAAGCATTTGTCTTTTGGGAAGTAATTTTTTATGCTCTGCTGTATGCAACTACGTATAAAGTGTTTCGTCCTGCAACTGTCTCACAAAGTTGGTCCCTCTACCCCAAGATAAAATTAGAGCCATAATCATGATTAATGAGTTGATTTCTCATGAATTTGGTCTTTTCTGTTTTAGTATTGCTAATGCAGATAGATCTACACTGACTGATTAAGATAGACAATCTTTTTACTGATATCATTTTTTGTGTTAATCATCAGCATCTTATTTCAGGAAGCAGCTGTAAAGATTCCAGAGGGAGAAATGATATATGATTATTGTTGGTATCCCTTCATGAATTCTGCTGATCCTAGCACTTGCTGGTATGTTTTTTGGATTATGTCCTAAATAAAATCAAAATATGATTAACATTTTTATGCTTGAAAAATTTTTCTCTCGATGTTTTTAACTATACTAGATGTGTAAAATCAATATTGTAACTAATGTCGATCTGTCTAAAAATGAATACGTTTACAGAAAACCAAACGCATATGAAACTGTGGATGGTTGTCATAGAGAGAGTTTAATGTATTTTTGTTGTTAAAAAGCTCTTAAAAATTATCATTTGAATCTGAAACATCTAATGTTTTATGAAATTATCTATGGTGAAATTCTGTTATCAATCAAGTGTTCAGTTAAAATAAATTTCTCTGAATAAGTCTGTGCAAATAAATGATAATTAGCTTGATAAATTAATTTTCCTTTTATTGTTTATTTGTATATTTTAATCATATCGATCATTTCATTTTCTGAATTAGAAAGCACTGCAGAATTAAAGTTTGTCAAATTTTGCTTTTTCTTAGCAGAATTTCTATGTTTACTTGTATATTTAGTTTGTATATGTTTATGTACATTATGCTTTAAGACTAGAACGGCAGGAAAATCTTACCTACTGGAATGGCGGTAAGGGGTCATTTTGACCCTTCGATGCAAGTACTGAAATAACAAAAAACAATTTTAAATGCCATACATTGGCACAAATATTTACTTTATTTCATAATATATATTTAATATCACATGATAATTTATTGACTTTTTAAAATACTGTAAATGTATCGAGTACATGGTGATTAATTGGAACATACTACAATTACTCAAATAATAATTAATTTGATATAAGAATTGATGTCAAATAAATGGTTTCACAAATTAAAACTAATGTTAACTAAAATAAAACACAATTTATATAATAATATTTTTTTATGTACTTACTCGGAGGATGATTCCATCTCTAAATCCAGAAATGAGAAATGTTCTCTAATGTTTCAGTAATATCATTATATGTGTAGCTGAAGGGAATATGTAAACCATTTCGTTTCAATTATATTTAATGTTTAAAATATTAGAGATTACACATATGTATTAAGAATTAATACAGTTGATACAAAAATAATTTTTGACAGTTTTTCCAGTGCATTTTCCACGCACAACTTTGGAACAAGATGCAAAATATTCTTGAGATTTGTTTCCATTGTTTTTCTGTACTTGACACTTTTTTCTCTTTATATCCATTTTTTCCCATTTATTTCTGCTAAGTTCTTCGTTTGCATCGCTGTCCTCAGATTGACTAATAGTTTGTGTCTGGAAATCATCTTCAGTTTCTACAGAAAAATTATCAATTTCACCTCCCTCAGACTCATTTTTGGATAGCTCCTGCAACAATTTTTTAATTTTTTCATCCGTAAGACCTCTTTTCAGCTTATTAGACATATTTTGTAAAAGTTGAAAAAAGTAGAAAAATATCAGACTATCAGAAAACGATAGGGAATATATTTTAGCATATTATTCTCACAGCGTAAAGGAAAGGTGGTAATGAATGTGATGTGACATATGTACTGAAATACTGATTTGGAATTACCAAGAAAACATGTTCTAACTCTTATCACCTGCAATAAGTAAAACTTATAACTGACTTATTATAAAATGTAAAGGGAATAATTCTTTTAATTATACTTGTTAGATTTTTTTACCCTCAATTTCAGCAATATATATTCCAAAACTCTTCTTTATTACTTTCTTAAGTACGCATCTCATAGAAATTGCTTTACAATACCTTTTAACAGATTGCTTTCCAGTACAAACAATTCTTGCTTAAATAGTTTTATAACGTATTTGTCAACAGGATGTCAATTTATGTTTACAATTCAATGTTAAGGTTATTATATATTTAGATAATATTTATAATCATTATAAATTTAGATACATTTAATAATTAGATTTCTTCACAGTAACTTTCACAGTTATTTATGAAAGAATAAATCCTTCATTTCAAATACAGTTATAAATAATTTAATAAATATTTACATATTTTGTTAAAAACAGATACAGTCAAAAGTCTTTAATCCGGACTCGTCGGGACTTCAGCGATTCCGGATTATCGATTTTTCCGGATTATAGATCATCAGTTTAAATCTGGTACGATGGCATGCAAAAATTATAAAATTAAAAATATGAAACTGCAATTTATGAAATAAAGAGCAATTATGATCTAAAGGGTATCCAAATGTTTATTTGTTTATTTGTTTACTTCCAAATCCAAATGTTTTATTTGTTAATGTTTATTTGTTTACTTTATTAAACATTTCTTTCAATGCGCGCAATCATATCAAAAACGGAGTACATCGAGATGAAATACTACATTTAGTAAGGAATTATAAGCTGAATAAAATAAAAACATCTGCCCTGAAGATAAGGATAGTGCTGACAGATCAACTTCAAGTTCATTGCGCACCGCGACGTCCCCCACCCAGCGCAGAGCAGCGTGAAATTGATAAACAGATTTCGGAATGGTTAGAGAAACAAAGGAGCCTTTATCCATTTTTTGCAGCAATTCCACTTTTTAAGACACGATAACACGCCGAATAAATACTAATTCAGAAGTCAAACAACAAAAATCAGCGTTAATTTACAAAATTTTCACAGAAATTTTCACTGTGAAAATTTTGTAAATTAACGCTGATTTTTGTTGTTTGACTTCTGAATTAGTAATTCCACTTTTTGTTTGATGGACATCGAGACATGCTTTCCCTTTGTAGATCCAGCATCGGAAATTCTATTTGACGTAATCGAAAGTTCCAACTTACTTTTATAAAATCGCTCTTAACAGTCTGCAAAAAATAGTTAGCCGGATCCAATTTGATGATTAAGGAACAACGCAATCTGCAACATTAACTGAAATGGATAATTTTAGCTTAGCTTATACTGTCCGTTATACATTAAATGCGCATGGGTACATGCATATGCGCATGCGTAAAGGTATTACACGCATGTTGCATTGATGCATGCGCAGAAAGTTTGTAGCTTTGAAGTCCGGATTATAGATCATTACGGATTATGGATGTCCGGATTAACGACTTTTGACTGTACATGCTTTTTGGAAGCACATGCATAAATAACCATACATATTTCATATTTTTCATTTCCGGCATGTTGAAATCTTTAATTTCTGTGCATTCACTATAATTTTCAAGTAAAGTAATTTACACTAATTTTAAAAAGTACATGTTACAATAATATGTGGATGTGAAAAAAAAAATTATTTAAAACATTTTGGCGTTTGGAACATCAAATAAAAGTAGCGAATATTGTATTAAGGGTATCAGAAAATGTATACAATTTTAAAGGTACGGTGAGGTATTTTTCATTCTTTAAGCATAACTTTTTTGCTAAAATCTATATTTTTGTAGTTCAACAGCTTAGAATTTTATAAAACAAACTCATAATTAAAATAGCTGTTGTTAGTTATCGAAAAATAAACAAGATGTAATTTTTGCGTAAATGTCACTAAACTATACAAATTGCTATTATCCATCATACTAAGAACCTTTCTTTTACGCGGAAGTGTCCCGTTTTTCGATTTGCATGGAACTGTCATGTGTCGAAATATTATCAGAGCACTGTCAAGCGAGCTTCTGAATGTAAACAAAAAACACCCCATCTGGTGACCGAAGCTTCGGAGCAGTGCTTCACTTCTAATGCCAGTTCAGCCACTCCTTCCTTTCTTACCTCCATGATAAAAGTGAAGGGGTCAAAATGATCCCCATCCGCATTCTAGGAAAACATGCCAATATTTCAAAAACTAACAAACCTAAAATGCTGAAAATTTTTTTACAAATGTTTATTATCTATTTAGGAAAAGTCAAAAAATTCCAAACGATTTCTTCCAATAAAACAAAAGTAATCAACAGTCAAAAGTGTTCAGGGGTCAAAATGACCCCTACTGCCCTTCTAGTGTGGATGATATAACCTCCTGAAACGAAAGCTGAATCACCCCTATGGATACTAATGCTTGTTATAAGAATTCATTAGTGGGAATGAGACTACTAAAACTAATTAAATGCATGTTGTAGAATTACTAAAATATGCTAAAATAAATTAATTGATAATATATGTTATTTAGGTAAATTTAAATCACTAATTAAAAGCATTCATAATTAAGATGAAATATAATTATAAACATAATATAATGTAACATTTATAATAAAAATTAAATTGTTTTGAGATTTAAAAATAAATTGACCATTTTTAACATAATATTTAAGGGGTATTGTCAGAGAATATTTGTTAAATATAAATTTCATTCCTTGCAGCAATGGTGCAAGAGAATTATTTGGATTTAATTTAAATTTACTATTTATACTTTTGAAACAATTTTAAAATATACACTTTTGGTTATTCATTAAGTTTTCAATTTTTATCTTTCATTATAAGTTTAGCCAGCACCTCTAAAGGCAGTCCAGTTCATCTTTGGGATGGTTTCACTGGAGAACTCCGATGCAGTTACAGAAGTTATAATCATGTGGTAATTGAATCAAATTCTCTCTCTCTCTTTTTTAAATTTTTTACTTTTGTGTTGTCTGAGTTTAAAATCTTTATATTTATATGAGATTTTAATAAGTAGAGCGGTTGGTACATTTCAATTAAAAATCTTTAAAAAAAGCAAGTAAGTTCAAGTCTGAAAATTTATAATATTGAAATGATTTTATTTAACTTAAAATTTGACTTCCTTCCTTAAAAAGTGTATTATTTATTTATTATTTTACCTTATGCTCTGTTTCTTTAAAATAGGCACATAAAGGTTTTTCTTTAAAAAAAAAAAAATATTCTGCTTTAATGTGTAATAAGTAATTCCCCTCTTTTTATAAACTCAAACATGGCATCATCATCACACAATATTCATTTTCTCTACATCATTTGAAACTATAGCTTAAATAAAGCTTCTTTTGTAGGCTTTGTACCATTGAAATACCATGTGCTAGAACTTTCATTATCATGGTTACAAGGCAAGCCAAGTGTGGAAAATGACTCTAAAGTGCCTATTCTAAGTAACAGACTATAGTTTTAATTATTGAAGTCTAAAATGGTTTAGTTATATAATAATTTTTATAGTTTTCCTTTTCATGAAATATTAATATAAGCTGTGTATTTTACAAGTCATCTGTGAGAGTACCCACTTTAAGAAAATACATTTCATTATTGAAAGAGACAAATATTTATGAAAATGTATTATCTGAAATTCATTTGATATTAGCATACCTGCTGATTTTCCGGGTTTTTTTACTCATTTCCTGTCTCTCAGTAGGTCACTGAATCTTCCAGTTTATAATTTTTAGCCTTTATTAAAAACAGTGTTTTTGAGCAATAGTATAAATGAAATTTGCACAGTTCAGATTTCATCTTCCAGTCCTGGTGATCTTCAGCATAATTTTTCTTATTAAATTTTATTTGTTTTGTGTTGATCTACTGTAGACATTTATAAAAACTTTATATGAAGATTCAGCCTTATGTTTAATAGGTAAATCTTTATATTTAATTTTGTTTAATGTTAATATATATTGCATTATTAAGTTTATGTATGTTAATTATTAATTTTTTTAATTTATTATTTTTTTTTCATTAAAAGTATTTTGAATTAAAGCTTTCTTTCACTACTAATAAATTATAGCTTTCCTTTGCTACTTGGAATTTTCTCAGTATAAAAGTGCAAGAAAGTTATCATGAAATTAGCCAAGGAAAATAAAATTTAGAATATGTAACTAAATATTCATATATTTTATGTCAGAATCACGACATATATACAGTTCAGTAAACCAAATCATGCATTATAGAGTGACTTAAAATTAATTTTGAGTTCTTTTAAAAAGGCACTGCTCCAGAGTACAAAAACCTCCTGGAAAGTCCTGGTTTTTCATATTTCAAATCGGTAGTTTAGTACCGTGTAAGTCTGGCATTTGTCAGAATCATAGCATTTAAAAATGATTTTTTGTTCTATATACATTTTATGTCATTTCCTCTGTAGCAGGATTTTTTGGTGATTTGGTTTGGCTTGCAGCCAGCAATCCAACACATTCCAAAGATGCTCAGTTGGATTGAAATCTAATTTTGAGTAGATCAAGCAAATTTATTTACTTCCATTTCCTCAAGTCACTCAATTATCCTTGTTTTATAAATGAGTGAATTACTACGCTGAAAGAGAAATAGGCTAGTTCCCGAATATTATCTTAGAGTACTCAGAAACAGAATTGTACAGTAATGTACCATAGACCTTGGCATTCAGTTTTAGTACCAGCCAGGTGGAACAAGAGCAAATCAAGAAACACAGGACTACAAGATAATTTTTCCTCTGCCAAGTTCAGAGGAGATGTTAGTACATTTCAATATGTAATTGTCGTGTCCATACATGTTCATCAAATCTCAGTGGGTAGTATTTTCCTGGCAATTGCCATATGTGTGCATGTTGATTGGATCTCAACATATAGAGTGATTCATCATTCTCCAAGATGATTTTTATGGTCCCAGTATCTACTTGTTAACCGTCTGAGTTAATTAAACTCCTGTCCATGCTCAGTGCTATGAGACGCTGTCAATTGACCTTTTGGCTCCCCTTCCTGAAACACCATCTGGTAAAAACTGGGTTTTTATTGTGCAAGACTGTGCCATAAGGTGGATGGAACTATTCGGTTTAAAGAAAGCAGTGACTAGAGAATGTTCCACAACTCTTTTAGAAGAAGTGACCCTTCAATTCGGGTTAACTTGAAAAATAATAAGCGGGAATGGTGCTCAGTTTACGAGTGCCATGACTTAAAACTAATTATATCTTGAACTATGATCAAAGCCTTACTCCTGTCTCTATCACTCACAGTTTGACCCAGTTGAAAGAAAGAACCAAGATCTGAAACCTCATTTAGCAATACTTGTTGGTAATGACCATCAACTATGCAAGGATAAACTGCCATTAATAAGTTTTGCTTTTAACACAGCCAAATGTTACTCAACTGAACAATCTGCTGTATTTTTCCAGTTTGCACAAGGGTTAAGAATCTTAGATGAGGTAAAATATGATACAAGTATAAGAGCTGTAATTGAGAATGATAATTTTGCTCTAGAAATTACTCTATATTTGAAGCGTTTTGCTAGAGTTATAGCAGAACTGATACGCTGATTAAAAAAAAGAACAGAAACTCCAAAATTTACTGTTGGAGATAAAGTCTAGATTAGTCTTCACCCTGTCAGCAAAGACAAAAACTAGTAAATTCATGCCTAAGCTAGATGGTCCCTATGTGATAGTTACTACAAGATCTCCAACAGCTTTTGATATTGCCCATCTCAATAAAACAGATAAAATTCTTGGCAATTATCATGTTTCAGCCTTGAAATCATATCAAGAGCAAAATAAATTTCAGACTTCAGTTCGTGTAACTCCAGTAGCTCCCTTGAAGAAAAAGAGACTCCCAGAACATGTAATAACCCACCAAACTTGTATCCTTTTCAAAAGATGCTCCTTAATCTAAAGCTGCTACTTGTCAAACTCGAACCTGTCCATCTTGTTCTCCATTCTCTGCACAATGTAGACAAATGTCTGTTCCTGACTTCTTATTGAGACATCTACAAAGTCAGAGGGGGAGGATGTAACAGAACTGTTTGGATGTGGCCGAACTATTTTATCAAATGCCATCTAGTGGCAATGAGAACAACTTAGGCAGACGACCTCCAGCTGTGATGAAGAGAGGTTCTCCAATATTATGTCTCCGTGACTCGAACGTTAATTCTAAATGTTAGGTCTTCCATTTTGGTATATATTTTCTTTGTTGTTTCAGTGCTTTGCTAACACATACTATTAGAGCTAGCCAGTGTTTGTGTTTATAGAAGAATGGTTCCAGTGTGATAATATGCTATATTTTTAACAATTAATTTAACAGTAATACAATAACATAAACTAATTGCTGTTGTAACTGTGTGACATTGTTAAGTTTTAAGAATTCTATAAATCATAATTTTAAGAATAGAGTTTTTTTCGTTGTTTTTTTTTTTGTTTTGTTTTTGGAGTTTATAATTCAGTCATGGGTCAGTGGCAGTGGTATTCCAACTATGGGTTATAAGTGCATATGGAGTCATGGAAATTTGTAGTACGTTTGCAAGGTGGCTAAAAATCTTATTGATGGTATATGACTAAGGCTCGACATTCTGATTGGGGTTCTCAGTTGCTTTTTTAGGGTCATACTGCCATAAAGTGTGAATACAACTGGTGTATGGGAGCTTCCAAACAATGAAGGTGATGCTATTAGCTTCTTATAAAAATATAATATAATCAGTAAGTAAAACATCAACGTTCTGATTAGCATGAAATACAGTTTCATTTAAGTGAATTGAAGAGGCCGTGGTGATGTTTGACAGACATGAAATTTGTAGGAATATGAGTTGGCAACTTATTTGCAGCCAGTAGATTGCGATTCATTACTGTCATCAGATTCATCTGCTGCTGGTTTAAGGAAATAAGATCAATAAAATTTTGCGTGGATGAGCTCAACATGGCTAATGCTACTGTTATAGATTGAAACAGTTATTTGAGGGAAATGTGCAGAGTCATGAAAATAAAATAGGGATGAAGGCTTAATCGTAGAGATTGGTGAAAACCTTTCCTTGAAAAGAATGGCTATGAAAAGAATTGGCCTTGAAAGAATTTTTCCTTGAAAAGAATTGGCCATATTCTATCAATGGATTTTTGGCGATATTTACCAGAAAACTAAAGAAATCTTTCTTGTTACAGTGCCCAACCAAAAAGCCACAGCTTTGTTAAATGCAATCAAAGAAAATATAAACAAAGGGGACGATTATTTATTCCAACTCCAGGGCTGCATATAAAACATCAGATTCCAGAAAGCCAGTTTCAAGATTTTCAAAGTGAACCACAAATTCAATTTTGTAAATCCACATTCCAGGGTTCGTATGCAAAATTCGAGTGAGTATGGGGTTCTCCAACTTGGCAGAGCAAGAAACATGAGGTACAATAAAACAACATTTGAAGTTGTACTTCGCAAAAATATATGGTGGTAGAAAATTATAGCGCAGGATAAAAACCTTTGAAGCTATTTTAAAAGTGTTTGCCGAACATTTTCCAACCAAAATAAAGAAAAACTAATTGTATCAAATTCCATACCAAAGTTAGCCAATCCTTCCATTAATGTGTGAAGTACCAGAATTACTGTGACAGATTTTGATACCTTTTATGGTAAGCTAAAAGAGGCTATGCACATAGGACTGGAAAAAATGAAAGTTTTATTATAGGGAAGATTTAAGAAAGGCTTATTGTTTATAAGTGTTCTATAATTTTATTATTATTTAATTTAGTTAACTTGCTAATTTTTTATGTAATTTTGAGTGTTTAGTGCAAATTTCAGTGTTTTGTTAGATATTTCTTGTGTTTTTAATTTCAATGATTTGTTGCTGTCACATGTTATTTTCAACATATTGCCATTTATGTGTCAGGTTGGCAAAAAACTAGTTGAAAATGACTGCTGACTTTGCAAGAGCATTGCCCTGTTTTTAGATACTCTTTTTAAATTTTGTATTTATTTGACGTTTATGAGCATTAATGTAGCATTTTATTGTCTAGGATGAAATCGAACCTGCTCGCAGCTTGGGCTTCACTGCAGATGGTCAGAAATTATTTTGTGGGTTTGAAAAATATATTCGCATCTTTGATGTTGACAACCCAGGTCGGCAGTTTGAAGAAAGAAAAATTTTTGGTAATAAAATTACTTCATCACTTCTGTGTAGCCTATGCATGAATTGAATCACTTTATGAATAAAGAAGCAATGAATTCTCATAACTGTAATTTAAAACCTTTTGCTAGAACTAAAAAGTAGAATTTAATTATTTATAGAATTTTCTAAAATTTTGTAATTTAAGATTAAAATATTTGTATTTAAATGCTGTAAAGCTATTAATAATATTGAGGTGCAGATCTCTGTGCAAGAATCTAGTTTTCTAACTGATGAGATAAATCTGAAACTTTACTCTATGTGGAGAAAACTGTTGCCTTAACTGCACAGAATGTAGGAAATGTGTATAATTAGATATTGATTTCATTTAGTTTAATAATATGAATGTAGCAAATGTGTATAATTAGATATTGATTTTATTTAGTTTAATAATATGAATGTAGGAAATGTGTATAATTAGATATTGATTTCATTTAGTTTAATAATATGAATGTAGGAAATGTGTATAGGACAATTATTAATAGCCTGTAATTTTTGGTTTGGCACCAAGTTAAATAGATGCAATAAAATATCTAATCAGATTTCTTTCCTTCTTATGTGTAAATGCCATTATTTTATTTAATATTGTAAAAATTATGTAAAATCAAATATAATTTTGTGCTTTGACTACCTATATACTGTACTATATTTGCTCTTTATGTTATATATTTTAGCCTTGGTGAAGGATGACATCTGATAATAAAAAATTTATCCATATCCTAATGCAGATTTTCGGTATATTTTTGTTTGTTAAATTTATTTATTTTTTCCCAGTTCAAGCCAGTTTAAAATTTTTTTTATTTACACTTCACTGTTCTGGCTGACAGGTTGTAAGTCGATTGGTCGTGTGTTGGCCAGGTATTTTTGTATATGAACTGGCAATATGTTAGTGCACTTTGACCCTTCTTGTGTTTCTATATTTTATTTTATCATAAATATTTTTATTTTCAAAATTTTTGAATTCATATCTCTTTTTTTTTTCTTTATGTTAAATGTTATGAGGTTAAATTCAAAGGCTCTCTACATTTTAATTTGTTTAATATTTATACTGTTATTAAAAATACTAAATTACAGCATTTAATTATATTACAGATACTGCTAAAATAATACTATACTGAGTATAATTTAAATAAGAAAATATAATCAAAAATTATTGTAAAAATTATACAATTTTGGATACAACTGGTTATGGATCGTCAGGTCTATGTTCTTGGGTCAAGATAGATGTTTTCTTGATGAAATACCTGCTGAGCTTACTGGAACAGTTTTTCTTTCCCTTCCACTCATATCTTTCAGTAACAGGTCACAGTTATTATGTTGAAAACAAAAAGCCAAAATTTAATTCATGGATTTGCATCTACCTGATGCAGGGTGTTTTGAAAATCCAGGAAGATAAAAGTTAAAGTTTGTTTTTTGAAGCACATGAAAATGCATAAAGGACAAACACAGAATCAAACTGTTCTCTCACATTTCAAATTAAAGCCAACTATGTTTCTCATGCATTCTAGATGCTGACGTCACTCTAGCCCAGCTTTAATTTACTTCAATCCACAGTATCCTTCCCTTCTGAGACTTGGAAAAGTCTCAAACTTATAAAAATACAGTTGAATGAACCTAGCTTTTTAGGTGCTTGGATTATCCAAAATCTTTCTACTAATAAGATTAGCATTATTTGAATTCCAATATGACTGTTTTTCATGTGACAAATTTGATGAATAAATTAGTAAATTCACATTTGTCCTAGTCACAGTACTAGATACAGGCCAGATTGTTCATCATCTTGATGAATTATATTAGTTTTTATTCTTAAAATGTTATCTTTATCTGTAAATGTAACACAATTCAAAGATTTTACATCAGGTAAATAATAATTTTAAACTAAACAAATCAACATTTTTCAGAATTCTCAAATTCAGGAAAAGAAAGTTGAGGATTTTTGCACTAGATAAGAAATTGCTGACTTTATCATAATTTGATATATGTAGATGCTAAAGGGGTGTATATTTTATTAAGTCAGTAGTCACCACGTTAGTCTTTATTCTCTCTACATCTGCTTCTTTAGGTTGACTATCAATTTTGCCAACCAGCCAACATTCTGGATATTTCTTTAGCCACAAAGGCCCCTCTCACCATCTGGAAGCAATCATGCCCTAAGCAGAACGGCCACGTGAAAGTAAATCAGCAATATTTATACTCTGCAGAACATGTTTCCATGTCTAAAGGTTTATCAACTGATGAATTTCTGTAACTCGGTTAGTCACGAAAGCTGACCAATTTCTCAACTTTTTTATCCACCATTTTATGCTCTTTTATCCATTATTTTTTAGTTAATGTAGAGTGCGCAAAAAAAAAAGGGGGGGACCGCTCGTTATCTCCTGTTCTACTGGGCTGATTGACAAAATTCAAATTGCGTTTTTCATGTCTCGAAAGCGCAATTTAGGATATATATTAGATTTTTATGTAGCACTATTCTGACGTGGGTATTTTGACACAAAATCGGACTTTTTCTGAAATAACATACCAATTTTTTTACATATTTCAATTCTACGACTCAGATTATGCCAGACTGCCAAGTTTTGTAAAAATCGTATGAGTAGTATTTAAAAAATTAGTTCTTAAAATTTTAGCTCCTCAATGTTAATTGAATAGGGCATATATTTATTAATATCTCTTTTTTTTATTAAACTTTTTTATTCTTCTTTTCACATTTCGAAACTTAGGTTCATTCCAAATAAAATTCCGCCATTTTTTGTGTTTTATTTTTAAATTTCTATTTTTAAATAATTTTTATAAATTTTTCAAAAAAAAATTTTGAATTATAACCTACAAAATTTTTACCATCATCTTAAAGTAGGTGTAATTAGTTCTAAGCATACCTGCAAAAAATTAGAGTTTTTTATTCAAAATTCTGTAAGATACACACAAATTTACATATTTTCGCGTATTGAAATTTGGCATCTTTTTTTTTGAGCGATAATAACGCCAAATGTAGTTTATGGATTTTTGTTACGGTGAATTGCTACAGCTATTTTTAACCTTAAGTTTCAAATAAATTTTTACGGAGAATTAAAATTATGAAATTTTTTCCCTCAGTGATGCGTAATAAATATTTATTAATACTATATGAAAAGCTATTTTTTTTAAATTATACATGATATTATTCAAATTTTTAACTTTTTAAAAATTTCTTTCTCTCTTTTTTTTTTTTTTTTTTTTTTCTTTCTTTTTTTTAATATTTGTAACAGTAAATTTTTACCTTCACCATGTTATCATTTGCTACTTTACTTTGCATTTAAATTGAATTGTCTAAAACTGAGAAAGTTCGTTTGATGTTATTTTCACAGTGTTTTTAAGCAAAGAAGATGTTGAAAGTTTTGGGTCATGTCCCAGCTTTAAAAAATATATATATAAATATAAATTTTTACATAAATTCTCTTAAAGAATGTTTTAAGTAGTAATTTTTCTCTCGTGTTGTAGATTATATAAAAAAACATGTCCTTTAATATAGAAATTATTAGGCTTAAAAACTCGTAAATAATATGATTTAGATTGTTTGTATCCAATATAAAAATCGGTCCACTCCGTGGTACAGGATAAGCGCTGCTGGAGTGATTTATTTCTTTCTCATTTAAAAAAATCTTTTACTTCAAGTATTTACCCTTTGGACTTTGCTTTAAAGCTTTATTTATAGTTAAAATGTCTAGAAAATAAAAAGCTATCTTCAACTGAAGCACATTTGATGCAACGAATATTTTAAAAAATTTGACAAGAATGCAAAATTTATGGAAGTGTAACAATCGAAAAATCTTAATTTTCTTGTGGTGAGCACTGAAAATAAACGTTAAAAGTCTTATTATCTGGACAAGTCTCATTATTTAAGTCCCAGCTTATCTCTAAAATGAAAGTTTTTACAAAATGCTTGTCAACAGTTTTACAAGCAACATTGCTTTCAAAACCATGCAGATTAAAACAGCCCCTAGACATCATTAACTTTGCTTGTTTTGTAAAGTGAACTTGTTTGTTAATGTTAAAAAAAAAAAACTGTAGTTACACAATTATTCGCATAGAATGAGTTTTTCAATTTTAAAGCAATTTCATCATATGGTGGAGGGTAGTTTTCTAAAATATGCATGGTGGAGGCATTCAACAAGTAAGGGCTAGAAAGAAAACACATCTTTATGAAAGCTTTTCTAAAACAGACTACAATTTATTTTGCATATTAGGAGAATCTTTGAAATCAACTTGTTCAATTGCTCGGAACTGAGCATGGGACAAAATATTAAGTTTTCCTTTGTTTAGCTGTCAGTAATGACAATGTAGTTATTAATAAGATATTAACAAATTTCTGAGTCATATATGTAGTTTTTCTCTCACTTAATCCTGACTACCTTTTTTCCCCTTTTGTATCTATTTCATTTTTAATTAGGGTTATGAACATAAGCATTTATGGTCTAAGAAGTTCCTTTCTTCCTTTTTAGCTAAAAAAAGTGGACAACATGGTATCATCTCATGTTTTGCCTTCACTTCATCAAACCTATCTATTTCAGCAGCTGGATCATATCAGAAATCAAGTAATGTATTATAATGAAATTTAAGTTTGTGGATCATTTCATCAGTGTAAAATTGATACCAATATGTTTAGAGCACATAATTGTTGCATAGTTGTATAAATGTTGTGGTAATTAAGATTGTCAACATTTGACTTATCATGTATGCATTCTGTTTGGTTCTAATAAAATTTTTCTTAATGCAATAAAAATATGAAATTGCTTATAAATAGAAACTAAAATTTAGTAGACAGTAGCAGTATTTCTAGAAATGCAGGATTCATTTTTCAGTACAGGATTCAATTTATAGGAAGTGGTGATGAATGAAATTGTGACATAACTTTCATTGTCCGCTAATAGGAAATTATGATGCTACTTATCTTCATAAGGCTCCATTTATCAACAACCTCTTTAAAAGTCCCCCTTCTTTCCCCAAAAATATAGTGTATTATGTAGAATCTTGCGTCTGTAGCATTATTTCTCGAAAATCATATTGTTACTAATTTGGTATTTAAAAAGCTAATGTTAGTTCAATTATAAATTAAATGGTTTTATTTCTCGCGCAGTGCAGCACGTGATGAATATTAAAAGAAAGCTAAGCCGGAAAATTGAAAATACAAGAGCGCGTGCATTAAATAAATAAATATCTCTTTTTGATTTCGAGAAAGTACTGGAAAATTCTAGCGTGTGATTTTAAAATCTTATAAAAGGAGGAAAACATCTCAGTTTGTAGTAGTTGCTTAGTTTGTTGTTGTTTAGAAAAACTGCTCTTGTTGATTGTAGCAAATTCGCGGATTAGCGTTCTTTAGCTGTTTTGAATTACGTTCTATTACACATTTGAGTAGTTAAAAGATAACTACTGTGAGATATTGTACTACTGCACGATAATTTGAGAAAATTTAAGCATTTTTGTTGTGATAATAATAAATTTTTGTTCATTTTTCATCGGACTTGTGCATTCATTTCATAACGGACCCGTATGCACGCAACAATTTTTGGTGTCAGGAGTGGGATTTGAATGCCAATAACAAGAGTGATGGAAGAACAATTCAGACAAATGATGACTGCATTTGCTGCTTTTCCAAGAAAAGATGGAAGAGGCCGTCAACTCCGTTAAGGAAGAAATGAAATTGGGCCACGAATCCGTTAAGGACGAAATGAAAGCCGTTCAAGCTGGTCAAGAAAAGATTGAAGCACGTCAAGAAGAAATGAAAAGAGAAATTACCTGCATAATAGAAAATAAATTTGAAGCTATAGAAGGCAGAATTGACACAATTGAAAATAAAGTTGGACAAATTGAAAAAAAAAGTTTCTTCCGTAAGAGATCAAATTGAAGAAAGAGTTTCTTCGGTGAAAGAAGAAATAGAAGAAAAAGTTTCTTCTATAAAAGAACATATAGAAGGGAGAGTTTCTGCTGTGGAGGAACGAATTGAAGGAAGAGTTTGTGCCGTCCAACACCAAATCGAACAACAAATTGATGATAGGGTTTCTACACTAGCCAAAGAAGTGGATATTTTAAAAAAATTCGTAGCGACGGCCGGGAATAATAGTGATGGTTTTAAATTCTTACCGATGCCTGCTCGTCCATCTCTGAAGCTATCCACATATGATGGGAAGACATCCTAGCAAGTTTAAAAAACATAATTTGCTATAGTGGCGGATGCGAATGGATGGGATTCCCAAACTAAGGCCTGTCATCTTGCCGCTTCTCTGAGAGCAGACGCAGCGGATATCCTGCAGACGATTCCCGAAAATCAAAGGCTAGATTTTGAAGCTCTATCCGGCGCTTTGGAGCTGCGCTTCGGCGACAAATGTTTAAAAGACTACAGCAGGCTCCAATTAAAATCTCGTCAACAGAAGCTCACCGAAACACTTCAGGAGCTCGCCACGGATGTTGAAAGGCTGTCACATGACGCCTTTTTGGAGTGCCCAACAGAAACAAGGGAAATCCTGTCCCTGCAATATTTCATCGATGGCATCCGGGACCCTGAAATACAGAAAGCTCTACAGAAAAAGAACAGAAAACTCTATGGCGGATGTAAAAGATTTAAAAAGGCGCTCTAGTGTACGCCATGAAATTCAAGGCAGCCCAGCAAGCAACTCGTAGAGACCGCCACCCAATCAGAGCTGCTCATGTCTAGGAGCCAAGGGATCAAGTCACCGTTCGTCTAGACGATATAACCAGACAACTCAATGACTTGAGAAGAAATATCAGTGAAAAGAAACTGACCTTAAAATGTTGGAACTGTGGAGCTGAAGGACACATACGGCGGAACTGCAGAACACCCCAGGGCACGGATATTAAGACCACGCAAGCAGCAGGGAAACTAATTAGTGGCCATCTCGCGGGGTGGAGGTTGCCAGATAATGAAAAGCCCCAGTTTAAAGCACTTCAGATTTCTGCAGTGAGAGGCGGCAGTAATGGACTTTTCATAATAGGACATATTAATGGAGTTCCCTGCAATATGACGATAGATACAGGAGCCAACGTTACCATCATCCAAAAAGATTTGGCTCAACAACTGGGAAACAAACTTATCTGAACGGCGCCCTGCATTACCCTCTAGACTGTGTCCGGTGAGAAGATCGACATCGATGGAAAAATAAATGTTAACATCACGTTTGGAAATGCCACTTACCATCACACAGCATATGTAGCAGAGATCACTGATTCTTGTATACTCGGATTGGACTTTCTAAGGAAATACAATTTTTCTTTGGACTTTAAAAATAATGAATTGCACTCCACATCTGAGGACATAGCCCTATTCGGAATTAATGATGGAGTGAAATCTATCCACAAAATTATAGCTCAAGATGATATCACAATACCTGCAAGAACCGAGTTTTTACTTCCTGGATCCATAGCCGAAAATAGAAATTTCCGCTACGGCATCATAGAATATCCCAATAACTGTAATAGCCCAAAAGGAGTACTAGTAGCCTCAACACTCGTCGACCTATCCAGAACGGTTATCCCGGTGAGAGTCGTTAATGTAACTGAGAAGTCGAGAGTTATTAAGAAAGGTGAAGTGGTTGCAACATGTACTCCAGTAACCAGCGTTGAAAGAAAGAGTAATATCCCAGAATCCGTGACCTCAGAGAGCATTACGTCGGAGTTATTGCAGAATGCGCAATTAAATGATAAAGAGAGGAATGCTGCCGATCGTGTCATTAAAAATCTTCAAGCTGTTTTCTCCCGCTCATCTTCTGACGTGGGTCGAACTAGTTTGACACAACATAGAATAGATACCGGCGATCATCCCCGATCAAGCAACATCCAAGACGTCTACCGTTTGCTAAACAGGAAGAGGTGCGAACACTGTTAAAAGATATGGAAGAAGGCGATGTCATCGAGCCTTCAGTAAGTCCATGGGCATCTCCCATTGTCCTAGTCAGAAAGAAAGACGGCTCAACAAGATTTTGCATCGACTATCGCCGGTTGAATGAGGTTACGAAGAAAGACAATTACCCTCTTCCTAGAATTGACGACATTCTAGACACTCTTTCTGGAAGCAAGTGGTTCTCAACACTTGATTTAAAGAGTGGGTATTGGCAGGTAGAAATACAGCCTGAAGACCGAGAAAAGACGGCATTTACTACGAGACAAGGGCTTTGGACTGTGTAATGCGGCAGCAACATTCGAACGTCTTATGGAGACTGTTTTGAAAGGCCTTTCCTACGAAGCCTGCCTGATATACCTGGACGACATCATCATCGTCGGAAAGAGTTTTGAAGAACTTTTAGAAAATCTTAGGAAGGTGCTTCATAAACTAAAAGAAGCCAATCTGAAGCTGAGTCCTGCTAAATGCAAACTGTTCCGAAAGGAAGTGACTTACCTGGGACATGTCATCTCTGCAGAAGGTATGTGCGCACGGATCCTGAAAAGGTATCAGCGGTTAAATCCTGGAAACGTCCCGAAAATGTCCATCAGCTGAGAAGCTTCCTAGGGCTTTGCACCTACTATAGGAGATTCGTGAAGGACTTTTCTTCCATCGCAAGACCCCTTCACAAGCTGACAGAGAGCAACCAAAAGTTCTTGTGGACAAAAGAAAAAGAATGCGAGGATGCATTTAACAACTTAAAGGAGGCTTTTAACATCTGCTCCAATCCTGACGTATCCTCAGCTCGACCGACCGTTTATTCTCGACACCGACGCGAGCAATGAAAGTGTCGGTGCTGTTTTGTCCCAAGAAATAGACAGCCAAGAACGTGTAGTGGCGTACTGGAGCAAGTGCCTGTCTAAACCGGAAAGGAATTATTGTGTAACCAGGAAAGAGTTGCTCGCCATAGTCAAAGCCGTAGAACAGTTCCATCACTATCTGTATGGCAGAAAATTCCTGCTCCGCACCGATCATGCATCATTGACCTGGCTTTTAAATTTCAAGAATCCTGAGGGTCAAATAGCCAGGTGGATACAGAGACTCCAAGAATATGGCATCACTATTCGTCATCGTAAGGGATCATCACACGGAAATGCCGACGCCCTGTCTAGAAGACCTTGCCAAGAAAGCTGCCGATATTGTTCGAGGGTGGAAGTGAAATACGAGCTGCTGACTCCTGTCGCAAGACAAATTACAACATCAACATCGGCTGATCGAGGACCGTGGAGTGATGATGAAGTCAGGAAAGACCAGCTGGAAGACCACGACATTAAACCCATAATTGATTTAATGGAGTCGTCAAACAGAAAACGTACCTGGCAGGACATTTCTATCTGTAGTCCTACAACCAAACAATATTGGGCACTCTGGCATTCACTTCACATTCGAAACGGCGTCTTATACTGGAAATTCGAATCGGATGATGGGAAGACGTTCCGATGGCAACTTATACTTCCAAGATCCCGGATTCCTGATGTCCTTAAAGAATTACATAGCACCCCTACTGGAGGCCACTTTGGAATAATGAAGACCTTGCAGAGAGTTCGTGAGCGCTTTTACTGGAATAATGCAAAGGATGACGTACAAAAGTGGTGCCGATCTTGCGATGCCTGTGCAGGTCGGAAAGGACCGAGGAGACGC